GTTTATAAACATATATCCTTTTTTTGGGCTATAATTTAAAGTAACTCTATAATTTTGCTGTCATATTATCTAGCTTTTTATCCATCAGCACATATTACATTTAGAGAGATTGAAATTTTCTTTTCTTCTGGTTTACCTTTAAGTTAGTAGCCATGAAGAACAAATAAAACTTGTGTTTGAACCTTTCCACTTTGTAGTAATATTATCGAGCGGTTCCGGGGTCTAAACAAGTTCTCCTTGAGACTTTCCTAACAAATTAATATCTTCTATCACCATTTCTACATAATCATTTAATTACATCGTTTTTTTGATCGTTATTCTATTCTAATATCTCTTCTTGGGATTTGATTTGGCAATCTAAAGCAAATCCAAAATAACGAGTAAAAAATTATTGAATGTACCTTATAATCTAGTTACTCATAAAAAATTAAAAAATTTTTATTTATTCTTTACTATTACAAATAATTACAAACGGTTTTCAAAGAATGTGGCGTATTTCTACATCTAGACAAACATTTCTTCGATTTATCATAAACACACGTACTCTGTGCAATATGTTTTCGTCAATCAATGTGACGGCAGCGTCAATACGAGCTACGACATTTTCAGCTTTGTTGTAAACCTGTTCTTTCAAATAATCCCAAAAAAAGAAATCCAGTATCGGTCAGGTAGAATGTGCAGTCCAACGACATAGTTATTTAATAATCCTACCCAAATGATTATTGACCTTCGTCATTGGCATGACCTTTGCATATTAAATGGGGGTTTTCATCTCTCCAATCATGCAGGTTATGAGTAAATATACAGTACAAGCTCGATAATCCGGTACCATAAAATTTTTCACACTGACTGATTACCGAATGTGCCGGACTACTGCATATTATCTAGAAAAAAGTTTTACTATAAGAGAAAACAAACAAAATAATGATCAATACTGTATTAAATCGTTTATAATTGGAAAGTAAATGTAAAATAGTTATAAAAAGAAATGATTATGTTATTTACATGTTATTTGGTAATGACGTATCAAGGAATTTGTCAATTGTTGACTGTTTTTTACAATAATAGATTTTATGGAGTATATTTTCTCTCAATTTCCTCAGTGTTAGTAGAATATCTGCAGATTGTTTATTGTCTTTGGCCCAAGGGATATTGAGATCAATTGCCTTTAATGCGTCCTCAGATTTCACAGAGTTCACTTGAAGTTTGGAAGCAACCTCTTCTACATTACCCTTGTCTGATTCATTACTGATCACTTCATTTATTAATTCCTCATCAGTCATCATTGGTTCGTTGCCCGGTTCTTCTGGAAATCACTTGTCTATATCTTCCTCTGTGAAGTTTGACTTTTCTTCTGGATTTTTTAGCAAACTCTTCAACTCTGCAATTGAGAGCTGTCTTCTAAATCCCATTCACCTTCTACTTCATTGTTATTTAATGATGGCCACAATTTCTTCCAAGATGATTGTGTTATTCTGTCAGGTACACTATTCCAAGCCTCAGTCACGGTGCATACGGCATCTTTTAAATTAATATTTTTTAACGTTTTATCGACATCATCTTCTCGCAATACAGCATTGACCAGGATTTTTTTTGTAATTAGTCTTTATCATTTGGATCATATTCTGGTCCATAGGCTGAAGCAGAGGTGTGCAATTAGGAGGTAAAAAAGTGTTTGTATTAGACCATCCCTTGAAGCTAAATTTTCATTAGCCCCATATGCAGGTGTGTTGTCTAAAGTAAGAAGCGCTTTCGGCGGAAGATTCTTGCTCTCGTAAAACGTCGTACTTCAGGAACAAAATCATTATGAAACCATTCTACGAATACATCTTTGGTTACCCATGCTTTGTTTTGGTTTTTGTATACGAGTGGAAGATCAGCATTTTTAAATGCCTTAGGTGATCTCGCTTTCCCTATCAATAAAAGCTTGAGTTTATGCGTACCATTAGCACAAGGCATGGTAACTCTATCCTTGGACACTGTCCTGTCTGATAAAACTTTCCAGAACAATCGACTTTAATCGGCATTGTGGACTTGATCGGGAGTTAAATTAAGATCATGCAGCTTTTTCCTGAACTGTTCGATAAATGAAGCAACAACAGCCTCATTACAAGACAGTTTTTCTCCCGTTACGGTCAATATTCTAATTCCATATCTTACCTTAAATTTTTGAAACCAGCCGTCATTTGCTTTAAATTCCTTATTCTTTAGATTTTCTCGTAAAAAACTAAAATTTTTGTCGTACACTATCTTCCGTGAGAGTCTTCTTACAGTGACGTTCTCCAAGAAACCAAGAATATAAAGCATCTTCTATAAGTGGGTATTCTCCTGTTTTCATTGTTTGATGACCACTCATTCCCGAATCACTTTGTTTAACACAACATTCAATTTTTTCACGATTTTTACGACCGGCAGTGTATTCATCAGCCAACTTCACCTGACTTTCACTGGAATCCAATTTTCTTCAAATTTCCATTTTTTGAACTAAAGTTCACGTTTCGTGCTTTAGTTTTCCTATTTTAACTGCCATTTTGATATGGGTACATAAAAATCATGTAACGCATACGCAGTAACAGAAACTCGTGGGAATCCCCTATTACTGACTATTCTAACCGTGTGACGAAATAATAAACGTGCCGGATTATAGAACGTAGAATTTTATGAGTGCCGTATTATAGAGTTGATTATAAGAGTTTCAAAATACCGGATTACTGGACGTGTCCACTGTGACTTATAGTTTTATAATTATAGCTATTGGACACAGTGTCCAATGATTAAAATCCACACTGATTATGATACAAATACTGAGCATTGGAACACTTTACCCTTTTAGATTAGAAACGCTAAACTAACTAGAATGGTTGCACTATTCTACAAACTATATGTAAACTAAATTTTATAGTTGGATAATAATCAACTTGTCAAAACCTTTAGCAAAATGACTTTAATGTTTAAGTTAACTTAACTTGTCAACTTTACGTCAGATTTCGGTAACATCACAGCCATCTCATAGTTTAGATTAGTGGTGAAACGGATATCCGGCAACTATCCGGTATCCCGAACATCCGGCCATTTTTTTAAATCCGGCTGGATACCGGATAGTTACCAAATATCCGGCTTTGGCCGTCTAGTTTTCTTCTCTTCGCTTGTAATTCATCATCACATTCATTACTAACAAAACTGTTATCACTTTCGATTATTAATTAAAGTATCCTCTTTTTAATGAAAAAAGCCGTTTTGAAAAATCACCTTTAGTTTTTGAGAAATAAATTTTTAAAATAATCGACAATTTTATTGAATTTTGCAATTTTCGTCGATTAAGTTTTAAAAAATTCGTATAAAATCCATCTCTTGGAATATGAGTTTGAAAATTTCCCAAAGTGTTAATAAGAGTGCCCTCTTTCCAATGAACCAACCCGTTTTGAAAAATAACTTTTAGTTTTTGAGAAAATAATATTTGAAGTTTTGGCAAAATTTTCGATGTTGCAATTTTCATCGATAACTTGCAAAATTCGCTATAAAGTTAATTGCTTGAAGGATCCTTGTGGAAATATCATCAATTATAAATTATAATATCCTCTTTTTAATGCAAAAAGCCGTTTTGAAAAATCACTTTTAGTTCTTGAGAAATAAATTTTTAAAATGATCGACAATTTTTTCGAATTTTGCAATTTTCGCCGATTAAGTTTTAAAAATTCGTATAAAATCCATTTCTTGGAATATGAGTTTGAAAATTTCCCAAAGTGTTAATAAAAGTATCGTCTTTCCAATGAACCAACACGATTTGATTAATTTTTTAAGAAGAAATTGTCATATTTATAAATCAAAAAGAGTGCGAAATTTTCAAAAAACCATATCATCTACATTTTTAAGAATTGTGATATGATTTGTATGTTAAATTGAAGCTTAAAGATTGTAATTTATGATATGATATAAAAACAATGACATAATATTAATGAAATTTCCAGGAATAAAGTGTTGAAGAAGAATTTGTCATATTTATAAATCAAAAAGAATACGACATTTTCAAAAAACCATATCATCTGCATTTTTAAGAATTATGATATGATTTGTATGTTAAATTGAAGCTTAAAGATTGTAGTTTATGATATGATATAAAAACTATGAGATAATATTAATGAAATTTCCAGGAATAAATTGTTGAAGAAGAATTTGTCATATTTATAAATCAAAAAGAATACGACATTTTCAAAAAACCATATCATCTGCATTTTTAAGAATTATGATATGATTTGTATGTTAAATTGAAGCTTAAAGATTGTAGTTTATGATATGATATAAAAAGAATGAGATAACATTAATGAAATTTCCAGAAATAAATTGTTGAAAAAGAAATTGTCATATTCTTTACACCTTTCATTATTTCGTCTCTAACCCCCGCTTGAATCTATTCTAAATGAATTTTTATTTCAACAAAAAATTATAACTCGAAAATTGAAAAGTGATTTTTAAGAACAGGTTTTATCGTTGGAAAGGTGACTCTTTCCTTTATATTTCTTCCAACTTTCTGAACGGTTACAACAGAAATCAATTTCTATAAAATATTTCTGTTAAAAAATTTATGTCAGGAATTAAATGATATTTTCAACCAATTTTTACTGGAAAAGTTTGTTATTTTTATATTCTGTGAGATAAAAGTTGAAGTCATCAAAAGGATCAATAAATTGTTTGAAAGATAAAATATTTAATTGGAATGACAAATGTAATTGTCTATTAATATGTCAGAAAGAAACTTTTTTAATACTTAATGCCTCCAATTTTTCATATAATTCGGTAAGAAACCAATCGAATTCGATTTTATTCTGCACTTTTTTATGCTAATGTTAAAAACAAATAAATTGCAAATATTTAGCAATCAATTTTACGATTATGTTTTCGACATACTCAACGAAACGCAATATTACACAACTTTTCGTTGAAACAATAATCTAAGAATTCTTATTTATTTAACTAATAAATGTTTTATTTTAATTTTTTAGTATTGAAGATGTTTTTATTCGCGTCACAGTCTTCAAAAACAGCGCCCTAGACACCTTCTCAATAGTAATCGGATGGTTGTATTTCGTGGCATGGTCGGTTTCGTTTTATCCTCAAATTTACATCAACTACAAGAGAAAAAGGTAAACAAATTTTTTTTAACCACATAGATCATCAATCTTCGTCGTTTCAAAAACATAGGAATTTTTCTAAATCGTTTCTTTTGACCTTGATTTAAAAAACATTCTTCTCAATGAAGACCTTGTAAAACCCGTCAATAAACGATCTGTAGAAAGCTATGGTTTGCTTTCGAATTCGTTCAAGATAGAAACTTGCGGTTTTCGTTTAAAGATGAATACGTTGGTTCTACATTGTATAGAAAATAAAACAAGTCTATCATTTTACACTAACTTATTTTGTACTTTTTTTTATTTTACAGTGTGATTGGATTAAACTTCGATTTCTTGTACTTAAATATCGTCGGATTTATGCTTTATGGCACTTTTAATCTTGGGTTATATTTTATACCAGAAATTAAAGTAAGTATTAAAATATAATTAAATTTGATTTTAGACGAAACAATTTCCTAAGTAGTTGAAATAATTCTATTAATAAAAGTCTTAAATGAAACCAGAATGTACTAAGTATAGCTAAGAAGACAAGTAGACTAGTTGACCTGTTTCACTTACAATTTAAGACTCAAAGAATTATTTCAACATACTTTAACACTTGCGTATAAACCATAGAATTCCTGTTAAAATAGAGAATAGTTTCAACAACCTTGAAATAGAATGACGTCTTTATTATCGATCGTTGTCTTAAGAATTATGATATGATTTGTATGTTAAATTGAAGCTTAAAAATTGTAGTTTATGATATGAAATAAATACTATGAGATAATATTAATAAAATTTACAGAAATAAATTGTTGAAGAAGAATTTGTCATATTTATAAATCAAAAAGAATACGACATTTTCAAAAAACCATATCATCTGCATTTTTAAGAATTATGATATGATTTGTATGTTAAATTGAAGCTTAAAGATTGTAGTTTATGATATGATATAAAAAGTATGAGATAATATTAATGAAATTTCCAGAAATAAATTGTTGAAAAAGAAATTGTCATATTTATAAATCTAAAAGTATACGGAATTTTCAAAAATCATATCATTCGCATTTTTAAGAATTGTGATATGATTTGTATGTTAAATTGAAGCTTAAAAATTGTAGTTTATGATATGATATAAAAAGTATGAGATAATATTAATGAAATTTCCAGGAATAAATTGTTGAAGAAGAAATTGTCATATTTATAAATCTAAAAGAACACGAAATTTTCAAAAAACCATATCATTCGCATTATTAAGAATTATGATATGATTTGTATGTTAAATTGAAGCTTAAAGATTGTAGTTTATGACATGATATAAAAACTATCAGATAATATTAATGAAATTTCCAGGAATAAATTGTTGAAGAAGATTTTTGTCATAAATCAAAAAGAATACGACATTTTCAAAAAACCATATCATCTACATTCTTAAGAATTATGATATGATTTGTATGTTAAATTGAAGCTTAAAGATTGTAGTTTATGATATGATATAAAAACTATGAGATAATATTAATGAAATTTCCAGGAATAAATTATTGAAGAAGAAATTGTCATATTTATAAATCAAAAAGAATACGACATTTTCAAAAAACCATATCATCTTCATATTTTTAAGAATTATGATATGATTTGTATGTTAAATTGAAGCTTAAAGCTTCAAGAATAGCTTCAACAACCTTGAAATAGAATGACGTCTTTATTATCGATCGTTTTTCGTCTAATTTTGGATTGATTTTATTAAACTCATCAACATACATATAGCGATTGTATAAACACAATTTTTTTACAGAATGAGTACTTTTCAAGATATCCAAGAGGTTTAAATCCGGTCCAAGTGAATGACATAGTTTTTGCTGTTCACGCGGCTTTAGCGTGTTTAATAACAATATGCCAATGTTATCTATACGAAAGAGGAGAACAAAAAGTGTCTTTGACGGCCAAATCAATCCTTGGAGTGTTCGCTTTATTCCTATTTATCAGTGTGATTTTGTCGGCAGTCGATGTAATTCATTGGCTTGATTTCTTGTATTATTGTTCCTATGTGAAATTAACGATTACATTAATTAAATATGTACCTCAGGTAATTTCAAATTCAAACTTGAACCAATGCAGTTTTGTAATATTTTTGTTTTTTTAGGCTTATATGAATTATAAAAGGAAAAGTACGGTTGGTTGGAGTATTGGAAATATCTTCTTAGATTTTACTGGTGGAATTTTATCTATGTTACAAATGATAATTAATGCTCACAATTACGGTAATTTTTATTTATTTTATATAGTAATAATTACTTAATAATTTTGTGTGTTTTAGATGATTGGGTATCAATCTTTGGGGACCCCACCAAGTTCGGATTAGGATTATTCTCCGTAGTATTCGACATATTCTTTATTATCCAACATTATGTTCTATATCGGCACTCAAATTATGAAGAAAAGTAGTACTTATATTAAAATTTTTATCGCGCATTTTTTTGTGAGGTTTAAGTTATTTTATATGATTTATAATAATTGTTATAATATATTTGATAAAAGTAAGTAATTCAATATGTTTTTAGTTTTTAATAAATTTCTAAATTCAAACAAAACATTTATTTGCGTTTAATGAGTTATTTAATTCCCAATATTAAATCAAAATCTATAAAAAAAACGCTTCACAAATTTTAATTTTAAAATAATTTCAATTACCATCAATCCGTGCAATGTTAGCTATAAATTTTTACCTTTGTTTTTCCACTTACTTTACAAGCTATCTAGCTTTACAACATATCTTCCTTGTCTTTAGAGATGGCGAAATATTAAATACACCACTAGAAAGCCTTTTGGCTGTTTTTGATTCTATTATCATCGTAATTTTTATTAAATAAAAGGAGTTTTGAGGAAAACTTTCCTCTTCTACAGGCACAACATCAAGTTAGGTAAGTTGCTTTCGTCTTTATATTTCCTTGTAGCACTGATTTAAATTAAAATTTTTTTTTCATCGTTTCGCAGTTAATGTCATGGTATTGACAGGATTGATAAAGTAGGTGGAAAAACATGGGTAGAAGTTTGTTGCTGTCGTCGTACAGGTTTGAACTGTTATAGCATACAGGACCGCCATTATAATGGTTGTCAATCCCCCTAAAACGAATTTTTATTTCACCGGATTTTAAGGACACACTAGATTCTAAATTAACAAAAAAATTCTTAAGCACAATAATTGTTAAACAAAATCCCAGAAAGAGATAAGGAAGTCAGCTAATTGCATGTTGGTAAGCAAATATTTCAAAACCACAACCTTTCCATTAACCTTGTCGCACATAAAATAAAAATGTATGCTATGTGTTTAAAGGTGTGTCCAAACTTGCGCGTAGGGATGCAAACGATACATTGATTTTTCGAAAATATCGATGTTGAAGTCCATAAAACATCGATACATCGTTCATTATGAACGATATTTTATCTTCGGTGTTTGATGAAATAATCGACCATTATTTCCATGTTTGTATAAAAGAGCAACGAAATATTTGCTATACAGTGTGTCCGTAAAGTAACGGATATAGGTGATAAAATCATTACAAACAGTAAAAAGATTAAAAAGATTTAAATTTGCAATATTTTGACATTTTTTTCAAATGGCAATACCCCATTTTTATTGCGGAATATGAAAGAGGATATTGTTCTGAATACAGTACAGTCAATATTAATATTGGTTACATAAGAAAATTTTCGAGAAATTATTACTTTAAAGTTTAACTATTCAAATTTGCTTAACATGATAAAAATAGCAGTAGCCATGAACTAACTATGGTAACCAATCATTTTAAACAATTTCCTAAGTGTCAAAAAGTAATTTAGTATAGCTTGTTGAAGTGTGGTGGCGCGCCATCTTATTGGAATAACTGCCGTTGGAATTGGGTTGGGTCAACATTATCGGAAAATCTGGCTGTTATGAAAGGAATGATATTTTGAAAAAAACTAAACATCTCTCTCCAGTTAAGGTTTCTTCAAAAAAGTAATGACCCAGGACGGTATCCCGTACTATTTCGCTCCACGCATTGATCTCTTGCGGATATTGAGTGTGATTTTCTTGCCCAATATGAATTTTGGGTAGCAAATTTTTTTCTATTTACTTGTCCGCTCAATGTAAATGTTCCCTCGTCGGTAATAATTATGTTTTTGACAAAGTCTTCGTTGACATTGTAAAATTGTTGTTGCAAAAACTACGACTAAATGCTCTTGAATGAGGTTTACTAGATAGGAATGATATTTTGCGGGTTTTAAAATGTTGTGAACCGTTGATTTACTGATGTCCAAATTAGGCACAATACCCCTTACAGTAAGAAGTAACATGAGGGTTTTCTTGCCCAGCTAAAACCACGTTTTGTTTAACCTCCCCTGAAACATTTGGTAGGCCAGACTTCGCGAAATGCTTCAAGGGATGCCCAAGGTTTTTAATTTGCTCACAGCTAGGCTCACCATACTTTGACTAATGAGTTGACGATTAGGATATGTTGTATTAAAGGGGTCAACTACTTACTAAACCATTTTTTGATACTTAGGAAATTGTTTAAAGTGATTGGTACCACAGTTACTCATGGCTACTGCTAATTTTATCATGTTATGCAAATTTGAATAGTTAAACTTTAAAGTAATTTTTCTTGAAAATTTTCTTATGTAACCAATATTAATATTGACTGTACTGGGTTCAGAACAAAATCCTCTTTCATATTCCGTAATAAAAATGGGTGATTGCCATTTGTCAAAAAAGTTTTAGAATAGTTTTATCTATCTAACTGAAATTTTTCCAATGTATTTATCATGTTCATAAAAAAAATCTAGGCATAAATTGAACGGGGGTGGTTACGTTTAGTAGTTTAGAAGGGTAGATTGAAAGTACAAATAGGGTCAAAACGTGCCCTATTATGAGTTAAACATATTCCTCAAATTTTATTTGCCTAGCGTTTATGGTTTTTGAGAAAAAGAAATTAAACCAAAATTTTCCGCTATTTTTGGAGGGGTGTAGCTCCTTAGGGGAGCCGAAGTCGCCCATAGTTCATATATCAAAGTACTCTTAAAATTCACTAAAGAATCACCCCTTGAAGTTTGTTGCAGTCATTCAGATTCCCCTCTGTATATGATTCATATGATATATATACAGGGATCTTGTGTCCCAGTGGATAAAAAGTTATCCCGAACTAAATTTAAATAATGAGGAATTATTTTGTAAAACTTGTGCCAAAGTTTGTTTTTTAAAAAATTATGTCGTAGCATTTTAGCCAAAGATTTAAGTTAAAAATTAGGGTTTTCAGAGGAGTTGCCAATGGTTTGTTCCGAAATTATATCTTTCATAGACTTTTACACCAGGAGTTAAAACAAATGGAAAACTGTTAAATTAAAACTAAATAAAACTATATTAAATTTGATGTCCCATCTTCTTGGAATATGTTTTACATATGTTTCTAGACAATCGACAATGAAAAATACGAATCTCTTTATAGTCTCAGAATTAAATTTTCATCTGTTAGAGTATCTATGGCTAACTTTTTAATTATTCTTTTTTAAATTAACGTGTGAGAGGAAGAAAATAAATAGAACAACATGTGAAAAGTGCAAAACATTTACAAAAATGTGATAGAAATAGATTAATAACAACTATAAGAAAGGTATATGTTTGCATATTTCAACATATTTTTGCATATTTTTTGCATATTTTGAATAAAAAGCTTGCATATTTCCTATAATTTGACTGCATAAAAATCCGAGCTCTAGTCATGATCTCGTTTTTCGAGAAACTGCTAATGCCGAAAACCTCATAGCGCTATCGTCTTTTGTTTTTCCCCTAGAGGGCAAAATTGAAAATATCGTAAAACCAATAAGTGCAATTATCTTGGTTATTATTATAGGTGGAGTATTATAACTACGACATTATATGGACACTTTTTTACAGAGAATTTCATGACATAGTCAAAAAAAATTTTTCGGTTTTAGATTTTGAGATATCGTGAGAATTTTCGTTTTTTTAAATGGAAACAACCACTGATTATTCGCTTATTAAATTCGTTATTTTTTTCTGATTACAAAAATATAGGGTTTGACAGATCTATTTCTTATTGTTTTAGAATAAAGCTAAAAATAAACTTTTCTTTTAGTGTCGTCGAAGAAATTAAATTTACAGTTTCCTGTAAATTACGGTTCTATAACTAAAAATTAAAAAACATAACTCTGATATTTGAAACAAATACATTTGTTGAACTGTTTAATTTATATATGTTTACTCTATATTTTTGTAACCATAAAAAAAAACGAATTTAATAAGCAAATAATCAGTGGTTGTTTCCATTTAAAAAAACGAAAATTCTCATGATATCTCAAAATCTAAAACCGACAACATTTTTTTGACTACGTCATCAAATTCTCTGTAAAAAAGTGTCCATATAATGTCTTATTATTAGTTATAATACTCCACCTATAATAATAACCAAGATAATTACATTTGCGGGTTTTACGATATTTTCAATTTTGGCCTCTAGCGGAAAAACAAAAAACGATAGCGCTATGAGGTTTTCGGCATTAGCAGTTTCTCAAAAAACGAGATCATGACATGTCAGCTACTTTTCTTCTAACTCTTATAGTTTTCGAGTTAGCCTATTCGGACATCGAATTTGAACCACCCTGTACAAGTTCTTTTGTGGCAATTTTAATTTGCATTTTCGCCGTCTCCAAGTAGACGCATTCAACAGGTGTGAGGAATTAGCCCTCAAAATCAAGAGTGCATCTCTAGGAGATAATGCAAAAAGAGCCGCTGTTGCTGAAAAGCTTATTCATGAAAGACGAGCGAAGAAGTTCTACAATGCTTTAAAAACGATTGCAGAAGAATGTAAAGAACGACGAGATCTTGCAACTATTACATTTGGGTTTAAAGTGTACAGGTGTACCAATTTCGTTGTCGGCAGAGGCTCTCTCCCAAACTAAAAGAGATAGAAAGAAAGTAGTTTACGTGTCATGATCTCATTTTTCGAGAAAATGCTAATGCCGAAAACTCCGAACAGCTTATTAACACTTTGGGAAATTTTCATGCTCATATTCCAAGAAGTGGATTTTATACGAATTTTTAAAACGCAATCGGCGAAAATTGCAAAATTCGAAAAAATTGTCGATCATTTCAAAAATCTATTTCTCAAGAATTAAAAGTGATTTTTCAAAACGGCTTTTTGCATTAAAAAGAGAATACTTTAATTAATAATTGGTGATATTTCCACAAGGATCCTTCAAGAAATTAATTGTATATCGAACTTTGAATATTATCAATGAAAACTGCAACATCGAAAATTTTATCAAAACTTCAAATATTGTTTTTTCAAAAACTAAAAGTTATTTTTCAAAACGTGTTGGTTCATTGGAAAGGGGACACTCTTATTAACACGTTGAGAAGTTTTCATGCTCATATTCCAAGAAGTGGATTTTATACAAATTTTTAAAACTTAATC